AGATTGTATCACTTTGTCAGCCAGGCTGAAGTGCAATGATGCAATTAAAACTCACTGTAGCCTCAATTTCCTGTGCTTAGGTGATCCTCCCACCTCAGCCTTTCAAGTAGCTGGGATTGCAGGCATGCACCACTATACTGGGCTGTTTTTTTTTTTTTTTTTCTTTTTTAAAGTACAGATGAGATCTTGTTATGTTGCCCGGGCTGATCTTGAACTCCTGAGCTCAAGTAATCCACCCACCTCTGCCTTTCAAAGTCCTGGGATTACACGCATGAGCCACTGTGCCTGTTCTGTCCTCTGATTTTCTGTCATTAACCTTGCAAAGATTACAGCTTGATAGGCTACTTCCAGATCCAGTCTCTTGACTGTTGGCTCTTAGTGCCAGAGTTATATATGGACAGAACTGACAAAGCAGCTAGTGGCAACAGCTATAATTAAAATCCTTTTTGTCTTTTCAGTTCAATAAGTGGTTAAATGATTTTGACGTCATTGTTGAGCCAGGGATAATAATACCACTAAATGGTGCCATCTATAAACTTTTGGTTTCTGTGAGCTATAGATATATAGAGTAAAATAACCTAAAATACCTATATCCCCTCACCCTTCTCTCTGCTTCTGCAAAAAAAGAAGCAGAGGGCAAGAATTATTTCTACTTCTGCAAAAAAAAAAAAAAAAAAAAAACAGAGGGCAAGAATTATTAAAGAAATGAGAACAAGAAGACAAAAGCATCTTTGTATAAAGTGTGAAGAATATACAGTGGGGAAAGGACACCCACTTCAGTAAATGGTGCTGGGAAAATTAGATATCCGTATGTAGAAGAACGAAAGTGGACTCCCCCTGTCACCAAATCAACAAAAATCAACTCAAGATGGATTAAGAACTTACATATAAGGCCAGAAACTATAAGACTGCTAGATGAAAACAGGGAAGCACTTCAGGACATTGGTCTAGGCAAAGCATCTTTGTATAAATACTGAGATAATATAACATGCTGTGTTACAGCCAGCTCTAATTGCCAATTCAAAGAACCAAAAAGCTCAAAATAAAGTTGCTCGCTGTGCCTTCATTTTATTATTCTTTGAGGAGAATATTTCAAATAACTGGAGTAGGGTCTCCTTCTACTGCTGGTGTAGAAGTTTGGACTAATGCCTGCTTTGTAAAATAATTAATATTATATTGGGCTTCTATTGGCATAGTTATAATATAAGAATATAAACTGTATTATAGCTAAATCCATGTCATAGTTGTTGGAAAAGTCAGAAATCTGCTGCCATTATTCTGGTTATGTAATGTCTCCATGTCTTTTGAGGAATGAGGCAAACAAAATTTAAGAATTTTTGTAGCCTAAATATTTAAAGCCCTAAACAGATTGATCCTAGATTAGTGATGAACATGTTTTCCTTGTTGCTTTTGTTGTTGTTTCTTAAGTAGCTTTCAGAATTGATTTTTTTTTTCAACTTCTGATAAGGCGTTTGACGTTGGCGATCGATGTGCTAGTTCAGTTTTTCTTTTGAATAAACTCATGGATGTGGCGTGAGTGAGTGTTTGCTGTTAGCCTGGCATGTGCTGAGGATGCTGCACCTGAACGCTGTTTCACTATTCTTATCTGCCTCTCAGGACAGAGCTCCGGCAGAAAGCAGGCCATTTGGGACCCTTCCTCCCAGACCCTCAGGGCAGGACACCTCCATGGACGACAACCCCTTCGGCACTCGAAAAGTCAGATCTTCCTTTGGCCGGGGCTTTTTTAAAATCAAAAGTAACAAGAGAACAGCAAGTGCACCAAACTTGGGTATGTACGGCCAAAATGCCTTTGCCCTGATTCTTCCACAAGGAGGAAGAAAGCAGTGTCTTCCCTTCCCTTATTCCCTCATTCACTGATTCCTTTCTCTTTCTCAGAAACGAAGGTGAATGACTTAGGGGGGATTTAGCAAAAAATGCCTCAGTGGATTTAATTTAGTGTTGTGAAGATATATAGACTCTCACCCTGCTCTCTCCTGTGGTATAAACTTAGTGGAAAGACCTAAAATCATGATTCCCTTTGACTTCATCATGGAGTTTCCCATCTGTTGTGACAGTGGATAAATTAACATTGACGCTGAGCCTGTGTGTAACATCGGAAGCACGGTGTGCCGCATGCCTCTCCTCCACAGTGTGTATTTGGTGAGGAGGAGTCTGATCTGTGTTTCATTTTGTCATCTCTGTGTTCTCTCCATTGGGCTGCGTGTGATTGTGTGCGTTGTTGGGATATCTGAAGATCGTAAACGAAGTGCCAGTGCACCCACCTTAGGTATTGTACCCCTGCATGCCAGCCTTCACCAGCACTGTGCTCCAAACCAATCTAATCCCTGCTCTTGGCATCTGTGATCTCTAGAAAGCGATCTGACAGCAATCAGAAAATGTAGTTCTCTATTCCAGAGTGTTCTTTCCACCTTCTGCTGAAAAGGACGCTGTAGAGGCTTTGCTTCCAAGCCTAAACGCTGTTTTAACCAATGCTAGTAACACTCACTGTGTGAATAGCTTTGAGAGGACCTAGAGGTGTGCAGCGTTCCTTAGAGTGCAGGGCAGGAATGTCCTGGCATTGTACATTGCAGCTCTTTCAGCCTTGAAGTGCATATTACCACACACTAACTCCCAGGTCCTTGCAGTCCATTCTCCATGCTTACATTTCTCCCAGCCTCCAAAAAGAAATTTTTTTAGCCATATAAGGAAGTTTATAGAAGACTTGGAATATTATAGTTTTAGGCTTACTTCTCTTAGGGGAACATTCTTCTGACGTTTTACTACTTTGAAGATGGAGATAATATTTAGTGATGACAGAAGCAACTTTACTTGATATCTGAGGCGTTACCCCACAAAGTGATTTTAGAAAAGAGGCAACTTAGTTTTCCTCTTTGTAAGGCAGGGCACCAATTGGGGGAAAAGCTCTCAAAATAAAAAAGAGAAATATGGTAGCTTTAAGATGAGAATAAGCTAGGCAGCATTTTCAGGGGCACCTGTACCCATCATGGTTGAAGGATTTGAATTGGGAAAGTTCCTTTGGGTTTTTCCAAAAGGTGCTGTTACCTTGTATAGATATCTACCTATCTATTCACGTGGACCAGCAAACAGGACTTCTCTCTCTATAGAGATAAATGTCTAGAATGAACACTGGATGCATAAAATAAACTGATCTATTCAGACAACTATTTTCAAATAGTTTTTTTTTTGCATCTTTCTTAGAACTGTTTTGTTAATGCTAAGAGGTAAATGCTGCTTATTATAACCTATAATCACAGCTCTGCTTTGTAGAAAAATCAACTTTCTGCAACTTGTAGATCTTGCTGAAACACTGTTCCTGTGATTTTAGTACAACTTTTACTTTCCTTTATAAAGTATAAAATCTCACTAGTTTTATACTTAGTATGGGATTGTTCACTAAGGGACAGCTAAAAGAACTGAAATAGTTAATGCTTGGATATCTGAGAGTGGCAACTGTGGATGTGCTTCTTTTAAGGTAAAATCAACAGGCACTTATTTTATGTCAAAAGAAAAATTATGCATATCCAGGTCACTCTTCTCTCAGTGCCTAGGATTTAATTGGAATACATTTCATAAATAAAGAATTGCTGGAACTGGGTAACTGATTTGATATAAATGCCAAAGGAGAAGGAGTAAAAGGAAAATGACAGAGTTTGAGCTACAGTAACAGAAACAGTATTAGTTAATATTAACCAAATAACAAATAAGAACATTTAAGAGAGGAGGCCAGGCGAGGTGGCTCACGCCCTTAATCCCAGCACTTTAGGAGACCGAAGTGGGTGGATCACCAGGTCAGGAGTTCAAGACCAGCCTGGCCAAGATGGTGAAACCCCGTCTCTACTAAAAATACAAAAATTAGCCAGGCGTGGTGGCGGGTGCCTGTAATCCCAGTTACCTGGGACACTGAGGCAGAGAATTGCTTGAACCCAGTAGGCGGAGGTTGCAGTAAGCCGAGATCGCACCACTGCACTCCAGCCTGGGCAACAGAGCGAGACTCTGTCTCAAAAAAAAAAAAAAAAAAAAATTTGAGAGAGGAGAAGACTCTCGGGGAAATTGGATGAGTTTGTGAAGTCCCAGATGTCCCGACACACTGAATTGGGAATATCACAGGCATTTAGATACAGGACCTGGAGAGAGAGATTGGGCCCAGAGATTTTGATCCGCTAGAGGGCGCTTAGAACAGAATCTTAAAGTGGCATGGGGGAAGAAAAAAAAGCAGGAGTGCTACAGCAAAGACACTATCAGATGGCAGATATAGGAGTGGTCATGTCAAGAAGCCAGAGGAGATGATTTTGAAGGATGTAGGAGGTAATCAACAGTACCACGTGCTATGGAAAGATTGGGAATAATTCCATCATGAATTCAAATCACTCAAGGAAAGAATGTGGCAATCCTATCACCCTCTTTTAATCTCCAAAGGCTTGTAATTTTATTAACTTTAAACACAGTAAACTATGGAGCAGAACATATATGTGTGTTCCATTTCTAATATTTACAAAGTGCTCTTTGTAAATTACTGATTTATAGACCAACAGAAGAATTCTTAATAGTTCTAGAACCAAGAAGATTAACATCTTATCATGTTCATTCCATATTTTAAAATTCGTTGTCTGTATTCTGCTCTTGGAGTAGCTGAAACAGAAAAAGAGACAGCAGAGCACCTAGATCTGGCTGGTGCTTCTTCTCGGCCAAAAGATTCACAGAGGAACAGTCCCTTCCAGATACCACCTCCATCTCCAGATTCCAAAAAGAAATCCAGAGGTATCATGAAACTCTTTGGAAAGTAAGTAAAGCAGTGAACAAGTAGAGTGGGCCCTGTCTTACATGTTGCTTAAAGTGGCTGGAAATGGGTATGGACTTGTAAGGCCTTTGTATTCCTCTTATGGAAGGAAGTTTGGATTATGATGTGGGATTTATTAACTCATTGGATCTTAGTTAAAGTTTAAATTTAAATGTCTATGTTAATGACACAGAGGATTAGTTCCAGTAGCTGTACTAGTTAAAAATTCTCTGATTAACAAGCCTAAGGCCTCTTCAGGTCTAATACTGGCCATGTGTGTTATGTCTTCTTCAGACTTAGGAGAAGTCAATCAACTACATTCAACCCAGATGACATGTCTGAGCCTGAATTCAAAAGAGGAGGGACAAGGGCAACCGCGGGACCCCGACTGGGTTGGTCTCGAGACTTGGGACAGTCTAACAAGTAAGAAGAACCAACTGATAGACTTTTGCATCTCTGCCAAGCATCATAGCCTCATGAGTCCTGCAGTGTTAGTACTGTCATGGGGTTAAACAAAGTCATTGCTTAATGCTGTGCCTAGTGAAAGGGGACATCATCTTTAGAGCAGTGCAATTTGTCAGTGGTTGATGAACATACAGAAGGTGAGGGCTGTGTGAACTAGGGGAGAGGCCAGAGCTAAAGTGTCAGCAGCATCTGTGTTAGAATGGCTCTCAGACTTAAATTTTACATAGACGGTAATTATAAGTACTCTAAAGCATAGCTTTGGAAAGATGGGATATTTACATGAGAGTATGTTCTAGATCAGACCACTTGGATTTGCTTTCTGGCCTTACCACTTTCTACCATCTGGGTGACCTTGAGCAACAGCTTCCAGGCCCTGTGTCTCAGTTTTCTCATCATCAGAATTAGTGCCTACTCCAAAAGCTGATCGTGAAGATTAAATAAGTTAATATGTGTTAAATATTTGGCAGATAGTAACTACTCAAGAAACATTAGTATATAACAGAATCTATGAAAGTACTTAAAGACAAAAATTCTATCAGAATCCTTATATTTATCAGGACTAGATAATATTTTATCCATTAAGATTCTAAGAACTGCTCTGACACTCTTACCAAAGTTGAGGGCTGGCTTAGAACTACTACATTGACTCACTGTGTATAAAAGGGTGGGGTTGGCAAACATAAAGTACAAGGCATTGATACCAAATATTTTAACAGTATAATAGACTAGAAACCCTTTAAATACAGCCCCTCCCATACAGGTGGAACACTGGACATAGGTTACATCAAGGAGGAAACCCTCTTTGGCCTTCTTCAAATACCAAACAGTTTCATTTGCCATATGTTGTCTTTGAACACAGTAGAGCTCCTTGTGCTATTTTAAAAAAGCACATGCATCTTCCCCTCCGCACCCTGTCCCCACCGCGGAACAAGAACACTATCTGTGTATCTTAAGTAAAAGAAAACAGGAATTTTGCTTTGATTGTTTCCTACACTTAGTGACAACATATTGCCCTCTTCTCATTGGTTACCATATGGAAATAAACCATAATTCTGCTAAAGTTAGTTCAAATTAGACTTAAATTTCTTTCACTCCAACTGAGTTTCCTGTTTGGGAATCCAGTCTTCAGACAACATTGGTTGAAACTGATACAGTGACTTATGTTTTTCCAATTTAGTCTTTTTCTGTAGAACTTGTTCTTGCTCTGTCACATTAAATCTTTTGTGGTTTCATTTGAAATGAGACAGTGGTCTTAGAAGATAACTTTCAACTCCAGTACCAGTTGTTCCTCCAATGTATACTAAAAATTAAGCTTTTCGTGGTCAAATGTGTATCACCAGGGAATGTCCATGTCTATTGAATGTATAGTTGTTTAAAACTCATGATAAGCCACAGGATTGGCTTTGGATTATTTTTCATGCAATTACTCATTTTCCTGTAGTGACTTGGATATGCCATTTGCCAAGTGGACCAAGGAGCAGGTTTGCAATTGGCTGATGGAACAGGGCTTGGGCTCCTACCTGAATTCTGGCAAGCACTGGATTGCATCTGGCCAAACGCTTTTGCAGGCTTCTCAACAAGATCTAGAGAAGGTGACTGCTTCTCTATTTTGTTCACACAATGAATACTGAGAAGAAGACAATGTAGGGTTGTTTTATAGTCCAGAAAGGGCCATGAGTGAAGCCAGTAAATACTCTCTAAATAAAAATTTGGGTTTTCAGTTGCTTCATGCTTATTTTTTTCTGATGGTCTTGGGAGGACCTGGTCTTGATGATTCCTTATGGAACACTTAAGCCATTGGGCATTTTAATGAAAAATAATTGCATAAGCATAATTAAGTTCATATTTCTCGAAATCATTATATGGCTTTATCATTGGCCTATTTTCTCAGTGTAATATATGCAATGCACTTTGCAAAAGGAAAAAAAAAGCACCCTACAATTTATGTCTAATAATTTAACATTTCTTCCCAATTATTTAATATTTTGCACAAAATAAGAGTCAAATTCTTTTTATGCATGCCACAGTTCCTAGCTTACAAAGAAAAGGAGTCACTAGGGAATGCCTAACACGCCCCTAAGCTAATTGTGGTGGTCTTGGCTTTTCAGGGACCTTCGTTCTACAGCACTTTACTAGCGCAAGTTAGGATTGTAATTTAGTATTGAATTGGATCTTTAGTGCTAGCTTCATTTTGGAGAAATTTGCATCCTTTGCCAGTGGCACCCAGCCTATATAGATAGAATTATAAAGTCAATGTTTATTGTTTCAGGAACTTGGAATCAAGCATTCACTTCATCGAAAGAAACTCCAGCTGGCACTCCAAGCCCTGGGATCTGAAGAAGAAACCAATCACGGGAAGCTGGATTTCAACTGGGTCACTAGTAAGAAGTTTTTATTCTAACAAAATGAAATAATTATATATATAGCTGCTTTTTCTTTTTAATCACAAGAACAGGTGTTTTGTGGCACGGTAGCAACACTGGCCTCTCTCTTTTAGGATGGTTGGATGACATTGGCCTCCCTCAATATAAGACCCAGTTTGATGAAGGCCGGGTTGATGGTCGAATGCTACATTACATGACTGTTGTAAGTGACTCACTCCTGGGGTTTGGGGGAGGAAATCTTTTTTCTCGAAAAACGCAGAAATTGAGTAAGCCAAACACAATGTAGTGATTACACCAGAGTTTGAAGCTGTTGCTTGAACTTGAGGAGAGTGGCGGGCATATTTCCTGTGAAGTTGAAGTTGTAGCATTTGGTGATTGTGACTGAACAGCCTTGGGATAATTTGAAACCCCAATTTAAGCTAAGTGAAGCCTAATTTAAACTAAGCTCTCCAGAAAGTTGATTTTATATGTAACACATTCAACAATGTAAATACTGAAGTGTGTACTTTGAATGGGTACATTTTATGGTATGTAAATTATATCTCATAAAAAAAATATATATTTTTTTTTATTTCTTTTGAGATGGAGTCTTGCACGGTCGCCCAGGCTGGAGTGCAATGGCACAATCTCAGCTCACTGCAAGCTCCACCTCCCAGGTTCAAGCCATCCTCCTGCCTCAGCCACTTGAGTAGCTGGGACTACAGGCCCATGCCACCATACCCAGCTAATTTTTTTGTATTTTTAGTAGAGACGGAGTTTCGCCACGTTGGCTAGCTGGTCTCAAACTTCTGACCTCAAGTGACCTGCCTGCCTCGGCCTCCCAAAGTGCTGGGATTATAGGCATGAGCCACCACGCCCAGCCCAAAGATATTTTTTAAATAGAATATACAGTTTTTAAGCCCAAGCTGTTTCTAAGTTATGCGTTTCTATGTGCAGTGACCATTTGGAAGAGCCCACGCTTTTGACCTGACATCTTCCAGGACTTGTCTTCTCCCTACCTTTCCACTCTGGACAACTGTTACCTGAAACCCTATCACCCGTCTCACTTCAGCCCGGTTCTGCTACAGCAGGAGTTAACTGGGGTTAAAGGAGGCGGGAGGAAGGCTAGACTTCCACTCTGGTTCCTTCATTATGGTACATTTCTAGCCTTCCAGCCAGTGTGTAGGACTATTCCCTGCTTGACAGCAGTGGGAAAGATGGATTCCAGGAGAACTTTGTTTTAGGTTCCATACCACTATTAATATTCTACTTAAAATTCTCTTATTTTATGTTTTTAAATTTATTTTTAATTTTTTAATTTTTGAGACGGAGTCTCGCTCTGTCGCCCAGGCTGGAGTGCAGTGGCGTGATCTGGGCTCACTGCAAGCTCCCCTTCCTTCCTGGGTTCACGCCCTTCTCTTGCCTCAGCCTCCCGAGTAGCCGGGACTACAGGCACCCGCCACCAATGCCCGGCTAATTTTTTGTGTTTTTAATAGAGACGGGGTTTCACCGTGTTAGCCAGGATGGTCTCCATCTCCTGACCTCATTATCCACCCGCCTCAGCCTCCCAAAGTGCTGGGATTACAGGCGTGAGCCACCGCGCCCAACCATGTTCTACTTAAAATTCTTTTATTCATTTATTTATTTTGGAGACGGAGTCTCACTCTGTCGCCCGCGCTGGAGTGCAGTGGCGCAACCTCCGCCTCCCGGGTTCAAGTGATTCTCCTGCCTCAGCCTCCTGAGTAGCTGGGATTACTGGTGTGCACCACTGCACCCAGCTAATTTTTGTATTTTTGGTGGAGACGGAGTTTCGCCATGTTGTCCAGGCTGGTCTGGAACTTACGACCTCAGGAGATCCACCTGCCCCAGCCTCCCAAAGTGCTGGGATTACAGGTGTGAGCCACTGTGCCCAGCCTAAAATTACTTTATTTAAACAGCTTTTTGTGAAGTAGGCTTTGGACCCAACTACCCTAAGTATAATCTTTTTCAAATAAGTGGAAGGTTTTAAACAGCCAACTTAAGTAGGCATTTCTCAATATCAAAAAAGTTGGAGTTCAGTTCATGGATTTTTCTTCTCTATCATTGAACCCAAGCCCCTTACCTTGATGGGCACATCATGTAAACCTGCATGAAATAATACAATATGTGTAGTATGTTGCACGTTTACTATGTGTCAAACATCCTTTTAAGCATTTTGCTCGTATTAATACTGGATTCTCAACAACCCTTTTAGTTAATATTACTAATTTTATTATAGTGTGTATAATATATATTAAAAAGTTTTTTAAACTTTTTATTTTAAAATAATTTTAGATTTACGGAGGAGTTGCCAAAGATAGAATTCTGTATACCTTTCACTCAGCTTCGTCTAATGTTAACATATTATACAATCATGATTACATTCCTCAAAACTAAGAAATTAATGTAGATGTTAATACAGTCAACTAAACTGAAGACTTTATTCACATTTCACCAGTTTGTCCAGTAAGATCCTTCTTCTGTTCCAGGATCTAATCTGGGGCACCACATTAAAAAACACATTTTGTGACTTAGGACTTCTGGGGTCAAATTTTCCAGGCTCATTTACTCTTTTATAGCCATTTCATATATGCTGCTTGTGATTTTAAGCTTGAATTTGTTCACATATGTACTATATAATTATATAATACTATATATACATAGTATTATACACACATATGTAATACTATAGATACACAGAGTATGTGTGTGTATATATACATACATGTGTGTATATATACGTACACATATGTGTATATGTATGTGTGTATATATGTGTATGTGTATCTACATATACACACACACACATACTCTGTGTATCTATAGTATTATAATACTATTATTATCCCTACTTTTTTACATGTATAAAGGAAGGAATCCAGATATTGGGTAACTTGGTAGCCAACTTTCCACAGTTAGCAATAGAAAGTCGGAGAGAGTTTGAACTCAGGCTGTTTCAAGATCCCTGCTTTTAATAGCTCATGATTATGACTAGAACACATTCAGTAAATATTTGCCTCCCTATCTAGGTGTGAGTATGTTCACCCTGAGAATGTGAACAAATTCAAGCTTAAAATCACAAGAAACATCTGTGAAATGGCTATAAAAGAGTAAATGACCCTGGAAAATTTGACCCTAGAAGTCCTAAGTCACAAAATATGTATTTTAATGTGGATTAGATCCTGGAACGGGAAAAGGACTTTACTGGACAAACTGGTGAAATGTGAATAAAGTCTGCAGTTTAGTCGATGTTATTATCATCCACATTAATTTCTTCGTGTTGACGAATGTAATCATGATTATGTAAGATATTAACATTAGAGGAAGCTGAGTGAAAGGTATATAGGATTCTGTTCTATCTTTAGCAACTCCTCCACAAATTTAAAATTATTTTAAAATTAAAAGTTTTTAAAAATCCAGAATTAAGAAGAAAATCACCCATAAAAAAGTCCGTTTTGACATAAAACTGTCTCTGTTTAAAATCCTTCAAAGTATAAAGAATTTCAAAAACAATTAACATTTTAATCACACTGTAAACATTGTGCTTTCAGATATTTTTGAAGCTGATAGACTAGTTAGATGAAAATAGCTCACCCTGAAATGTTTGCAATGGGTGTCTCAATCCTAGATTAAAATAAGTACTTTTTGTAACATATGTTAAGATGCTACTTTTAAGGAATTACTCCAGAAAAACTTCAGGAAATAATTTTTGCCCAGTTAGTAGCCGCAAGGATATAAACTGATTAATATTTTTATTAAATATTTCTGTAGTAGATTACATTTTTTTCTTTCTTTCATGAGAAATGTTTTATCAGAAAGGTGTGTCTAAAATGGATGTTTTCCTTGTTTATTTTCTGGGTGTGTTCGGAAGTAGACTGGTGCTTATCTTAACACTGCCCCTAATATCACCTTCTTCTGAAATAATTTGTTTTGGTGTGTTTGGTATATTTGAAAATATTTCCAAGAGCCACAGACTGGTGAAGATTCTTCCTTGAAGGGAGGGGGGAGTTGACTGGCGATAGATAGATAGATCGATAGATAGATAGATAGATAGATAGATAGATAGATCGATCTAACTTATAACTTCATTTTTATTCTCTCTTAACTCTGACCAAAACCTTTGCAGTGATTGATATAGTTTTGCCAAAATTGTTCACAGTGTCTGCTAGATAAACCAAAATAATCTAGAGCTATTCAATAGCAGACAAGTCTTTACTAAAAAATAATCTAGAACTGGAGAATTATTAAGGTCAGGGAGTAGTATAACAAGAGCACTGTTCTGATTTTCCCCAAAACTATGACGTGCTTTAGTTCAGAAAAGCACGCCTTGGCTAGGAACGGTGGCTCAGGCCTGTAATCCCAGCTCTTTGGGAGGCTGAGGCTGGGGGACTCCTTGAGCTTATGAGTTTGAGATAGCCTGGTCAATATAGTGAGACCCTGTCTCTCCAAGAAAAAAAAAAAAAAAGAAAGAAAAGATGAAAAAAGAAAGCCAAGCCTTGATCATGTCCGCCAATAAGCATCATTTGCTCTTCGCTGTCTGCTGAAAGGAAATAGAGAGGGCAGTTTAGCCAATGCCTAAGTGCTTTATCCACAGATAAAGTTCCCAAAACTAAAGAGGAAAGAAATAAATTCCGTGTTTGTAGTATGTGCAGATCAAGTCAATGCAGATCACCTTTTGTAGTGACGCAGCAAGTGCTTGTCAAACTGTGGTTTTCAGAGCCCTGGGGTTCTGCAGTCCTATCTCAGAGCATCAGGAAGAGAGAGAAACAGGTGGAAGGCAGCTTCATTGGCAAAAAATACTAATTTGGGGTTTTGGGGAAGATTTTGTTCCAAATGGGAAAGTGGGTTCTGACAAGCCCTTGGGGCATATTGGTTTGAGGGGCTCTTCTCCGTTTACTCCAGTTTTCTGAGATTCCCAAGAAAGTCCCCCTGCTACAGGCCAGCACAGTGAACTCCTCCTTTTGTTCTTTTTCGCAGGATGATTTACTGTCTTTGAAGGTTGTGAGTGTGCTACACCACCTCAGTATCAAAAGGGCCATCCAGGTCCTGAGGATCAATAACTTTGAACCAAACTGTCTACGGAGGCGGCCATCTGATGAGGTAGCGTTTTAAGATTGAGGTTTATAAGCATGCACTTCCCAGGCATGGGACTGTCCATATGTCAAAACTAAGAGCCATTTTTCTTGGAGCTTGCAGGAAAAGTCTTAAAATTCAGCCTCATTTACTTCTTAGGCTTTTTCTGTATTCCTTCCTTTTCTCTCCATGATGGTTCCACTCGTATAACTAAAGCTAAGGGTTCATTTTCAGTTATGCTTCTTCCTTTTGTTGGGTGTATTTTTTTTCCTGATTCCCTAATCCACAGAGATAAATATCACTATAAAGACTTCCTTTTCTGGCCAAATGTAGTGGCTCATGCCTATAATCCCAGCACTTTGGGAGGCCAAGTCAGATGCATTCACTTGAGCCCACGAGATCAAGACCAGCTTGGGCAATATAGGTAGACCCTGTCTCTACAAAAATAATAGTAATAAAAAATTAGCCAGGCATGGTGGGTGCATGCTGGTGGTCCCAGCTACTCAGGAGGCTAAGGTCGGAGGATCTGCCCGAGCCTGGGAGATGGAGGCTGCAGTGAGCCCTGATTACACCACTACAACTCCAGCCTGGGTAAGAGAGTTAGACCCTGTCTTTAAAAAAAAAAAAAAAACAAAAAAAACACTTTCTTTTCTAAACCAATAGCTTTATTAGTATGTAAGAAAACTTGAAACACAAACTATGACAGAAATTCTTTAAAAGAGAATTTTTCCCTTTCTTTATGCATTTAGTGGGATGTTGAGTAACTGTACTCCATGGAGCAGACTTTTTAGACAGAAAATGCAATTTAATACTTAGGATCTTGGTTGTGTGTTCCCATAGAATACCATCGCCCCCTCAGAAGTTCAGAAGTGGACTAACCATCGAGTGATGGAGTGGCTGCGCTCCGTGGACTTGGCAGAATATGCCCCCAATCTCAGAGGCAGCGGTGTCCATGGTGGGCTCATGGTAAAGCTCTGATTTAATTTCAAACTGACTGACTTTGTTTCCTTTAGTCTAGTGAGTAGGATAGTATCAATTTTTGCTTATCATAATCCTAAAGTCATCTGACGCAACCCTCCTGCCCTATTTCTAGTAAATCTTTACTTTCAGAGTATTTGTATTGATATCTTATAACTCTGGATTGAATTTAAAGCCGGTTCTCTTTTATTGTCCTCTTTCATGTCAAATAACATGTAGCTTCTTCCTCTCATATGATCATGTTTGAAAACCCCTGCAAGGATGCAGATTGTATTTCTGCACATTGATATTGCATAAGGAGTTGGCTGCCACGGACAGCACCCCAGAGAGGTAGAGGACTGATATTGGGATGCCTGAATCCTGGATTTCAGGACCAGCTCTATCACTCACTAGCTTGGGCAAAATGGAGAAAAGATATGTAAATTAAAGATCAAAGTCCATATGGTGTCTACCTCACCAGGCTGTTGAGAGGATCATTGGAGATAACCTAAGAGAAAGAGCTTTGCAAATTATGAAGCACAATACAAACATGTATGATTTGTGGTGACTTTTGACAAGCTTATTTTTTTTAACAGGTTCTAGAGCCTCGTTTTAATGTAGAAACAATGGCTCAGTTGTTGAACATCCCACCCAATAAGACTTTGCTGCGAAGACATTTGGCCACTCATTTCAACCTTCTGATTGGGGCTGAGGCACAGCACCAGAAGCGAGATGCCATGGAGCTGCCGGATTATGTACTTCTAACAGCTACTGCCAAAGTGAAGGTTGGTTCAGGCTCATACAGTTTAATAATTGCTTGGCGCAAAGGCAACATTTTGTCTGTTACCTGGTTATTCTGTTTTCTGGGGTTTGCTAAGTTTTGTGGAGGGGTTCCTTACCAGCAGATGCAGGAATCCTCAGCGCTTAGTTGTTTTGGGAGAAAGATGTTGGCCAAGAGACAGTTCACAGATAGCAGAGAGCTTTATTGAAGGGAAATAGGGAGCAAAGAGCTTATTGTAAGAAAAAAAAACCATACAGGGGCTGATCCTGCAGGGAAAACAACAGGGTCGCAGTAGCAATGTTTATGTAAAGGGACAGTACACTCCAAAAACCGAGGCACAGCGGGCTGCTGAAAGAGAAAGAGGCCAGGAGTTCTGCGTCGGGTTTTTATGATGTCCAGTTTTTTCTTGAAGCTCTCGCCTCTGTGTTAAGTCCCTGCCTTTTTTATCTCGTTTTCCTGCTCCTGCCTTAAGTCCTTGCCTTTTCCCTGCCTAGTTCCCATCCTAGGTTTGTGGCACCCTCCCTTACTATAGTTGGTGCGCATGCGTGGGCTGGATGTTGGCTGCAATTCTACCTAAAGGCTGCATTGCTCATTCCCGCCGCCCCCAGGAAGGTTGTATAACAGTCAAATCTATATGTACTGTGCCGGCATTTCTCTTAGGCATTCTCCTTTGCCCTCTTGCCCTCTTTATCAGCATGCAGCTAGCTAAATTCTGGCAGGTGAACTGCAGAGTGAGTGATTACTGAGCATCTTAAGGGATGTTCCTTTCTCCATAGGTATTTCTCCTCCTCTCTGCTCATATGGAGCATGATGTATGTTTTGGGTGGTTTCTGGGGTGTGAGATTTTCCGGACTTCTCTTTTCTCAGCGGCTTCCCCTCATGTCTAGCTATCTGCCTACTCTAACAAATTGAAGAAACAGTTGACCCTTGAAGAACATGAGTTTGAATTGCACAGGTCCACTCCTACTCAGATTTTTTTTTTTTCAAGCAAATGTGGAGGGATGCAAAACCCACGTCTAGGGAGGCCCGACTTTTTAGGTACACGGGTACGCTGGACTTGAGTATGTACGGATTTTGGTATACATGGGGATCTTGGAACTAATGCTCTGTGTATACTGAGGGACAACTGAGTATATATCTTTTAAAAGTATAATAATTAAGAGAATGCACCCAGATAGCTCAGGCAGTAGAGCATCAGACTTTTAATCTGAGGGTCCAAGGTTCATGTCCCTTTTTGAGTGTTCCCTCTTAGGTGGGCATGGTGGCTCATGCCTGTAATCCCAGTGCATCGGGAAGCCAAGGCAGGAGGATCATGTGAGTCCAATAGTTCAAGGCTGCAGTGAGCTATGATTGAGCTATGAGCATGCCACTGCACTCCAGCCTGGGCAACAGAGCAAGATTCTGTCTCTAAAAAAATGATAATGAACGCATCATATTGGCTTCCACAATCCATGTATTGGCAGTGCAGAGAGTCCATAACTTGGGTCCAAATATTGATTGCAGTTGTTCTGTTTTTATAAATCAGGTGTAGAATAGAGATTTCTCTTGTACAGATTTAGCTTCTCTGGCTTATGATTGACCAGCCTTGTAAATAGGAAAAGATACTTTAAAAATGATTGAAGGTAGGCCAGAAGAGAATGGATATTTCCTAATTTACCTGGATTTATGGGTCATACCAAATTTAGATTACTTTTTCTTCTTTAAAATTAATCCTAGATTAACTCTTCTAAATATGTTATCTCAACCAACTTGTTGGGTTATGAGGTCCTCCAGAAATTTGCGCCAAAGTTCTTTTTAATTTTTTTTTTACCCCATCTATCTGCCTGAGTATCCAATGACCAAGATGGAGTTTCTCTTTTAAGTATCACTGAAGTTTCCTCTCCAGAAAATTCTTTTAGCAGTCACCAGTCCTGTTATGGAAGCAAAATAGGCATACAAGATAATTATAGCCTCACCCAAAGAAAAAATATAGTGAGGTCTATTCTATTTTGGTAATCTTAGATTGAAAAACCTTGCAAAATTGGATTCAGCCATGAGAAATCTCATTGCATTAAGTCCTGTCTAATCAAAACTATGAAGCCAGGTGCAGTGGCTTGTGCCTGTAGTTCCAGCTACTCTGGAGGCTGAGGCAGGAGGATCCCTTAAGCCCAGGAATTTGAGGCCAGCCTGGCAACATAGCAAGATTCTGTCTCTAAAAATAATCGTAGTGATGTAATCAAATTATTTTTGCCATATTTTGTTTATCACAGTGACTATTCAGCTAGTTGGCGTGAATAAGAGGAATAAGATTAATTTTCTGAGATTCATAACAAGGGTCATTTATCATTGCATCATTTATATGTCTGGGATGCCCTTTCATTTTTATCCAAATTTAAACATCCAGTTAATTTTCTCTCTACCATGGGGTAAATAATTAAATTACACATGTAGGAGGGAGGGGGTAATGCAAAAATAATTACATGTTATCAGTCCTTGATTGTACACATTTTATCAAATCCTTTGAATGTTTTTGTTTGCTTTTCTTTTAAAGCCAAAGAAGCTTGCCTTTAGCAATTTTGGGAATTTGAGAAAGAAGAAACAGGAAGATGGTGAAGAATATGTTTGTCCAATGGAATTGGGACAGGTATCAGGAAGTGCATCTAAGAAAGGATTTAAACCTGGTTTGGATATGCGCCTGTATGAGGAAGATGATTTGGACCGATTAGAGCAGGTAAATCCATTATATACCTTTTTTCAAGTGTTTCCATCATTCAGACACTAAATGGGAGCTTTGTATACTGTGTCTGATCGAGGACATCTTCTTCCAATAACTAAAAATACAGATAATAATGAAATAGTAGTGAACACTTAGAGATCGCTTATATGTTCCAGGCACCATCCTAAGCACTTAATGTATACTATGTTTGTGGTAACCTTAAGACATGGAGAGCATTGTTATTCTCATTTTGGAGATAAGGAAACTGAGGCACAGAGAGCTAAGTAACTTGCCCAAGGTCCCCAACCTGTCTCTTTGGCTCCAAAGCTTATGATATTTACCTATATTATGCCATCTCTGTATTAAAACATGTTAGGAATGGACAGGTTATTCTACCTAGCCTTTTCAGATTAAAGTCATGGGACTGCATATTTCCCTTCTAATCAACAATGCTTTGGTACTGTTAGCAAAGGCATTAGACTAGCTGTGTCAGTAAAGTGTCTCTTCTAATTTTTCACTTCCGATTGCAGTGGTGAAAGGAGATTATCACCAGAAGTGTTCTGTTGCTCCTACCCCATTCAGTGCTATTTGCATTATTTCCTCTTAGACTTTTGTTCCTCTCGCTGCACTTTCCCTGACATTGTGAAAACACCTATGTCATGTTATGGTTTGTTCTTTGCAGATGGAAGATTCAGAAGGGACAGTGAGACAGATAGGTGCATTCTCCGAAGGCATCAACAATCTGACAGTGAGTTTGTGAAATGAATTGAAAATGTTATTCTATAAATGTCTTTTAACAACCCCAGAGGACCACATGTCTCTTGGAGAATGTGTAGTTCTGAGCTCTTGGCTCTCAGTGTGACTCCCTGTCTCCTTGTTTTCCAGCACATGTTAAAGGAAGATGACATGTTTAAAGATTTTGCTGCCCGTTCCCCCAGTGCCAGCATTACAGATGAAGACTCAAACGTTTGACCGTAGCACCTGGAGGAACATTAGGAATGCTTAGTCTTTTTTCTACTTTCTTTTCCAAACACTCACAGTATATACAACAGGCAGCGGATTGTCTATTGTTTGTTGTTCCAACTTCTGCTGTTGAGAAGTTTAAACAGGAAGCAGGAGTAATGTGCCGATTCCGAAGTGGCCACAAAAAAATAAGACACTGGTGAATGAGAGTATAATTGTTTTTCTTCTATTTAATGTAAAAATCTGTGATATATTATATTTAAAGTGTTGCATTTAAGATGAGTATTTTACCAGAGTGTTTCCGTTCACATCCGCAGTATGGAGGATTTGGGGAACAGTAACCAGGATGTGAATGATTTTGTCACATCAGTGTTCACTGGAGCCACCTAAGTAGGACATTATGTGATTTCAGAATCAATATGTGGAACTTCTTTAAGCATTCAGTGTGCCCACTAAATGCCAGCCACACTTCCACTTGCCTCTTACTGTCTTATTTTTATATATTTTTCTAAATATATGTATATATACAGTACATAGAAAATAGAACATTTATTTTGTGACCTAAGGACGATGGTGAAAAGATCACGTTTTCTAAACAATCTGGTGATCAGAATGTTCATCTACCAGCTGGTTTCTGAAGAAGTCAGAATGATCTTTCTCCATACTGACTTTTAACAATGTTGATCATTGAGGCTAAATTAATATATATGAAATATTCCTTTTTGATGATACCACAAAATTGTTGAACAGTTTAAAAATTTCAACCTTAATCTTGGATCCCTTTACCTCATATGGAAGAACTTGAGGGACATTAGTATACTTTTTTTTTTTTAAGATGGAGTCTCGCTCTGTCACCTATGTTAGAGTGCTGTGGCATGATCTCGGCTCACTGCAACCTCCGCCTCCTGGGTTCAAGCCATTCTTTTGC